TTATCGCCATGCACAAAACTTAAGTCCAAATGGATCAAAGACCTCAACATAAATCCAGCCACACTGAACCTCTTAGAAGAGAAAGTGGGTGGTACCCTTGAACGAATTGGTACAGGAGACAGCTTCCTGAACATAACATCACTAGCACAGACAGTGAGATCAACAATTAATAAATGGGACCTCCTGAAACTGAGAAGCTTCTGTAAGGCAAAGGACACAGTCAGCAAGACAAAAAGGCAGCCCACAGAATGGGAAAAAATATTCACTAATCCCACATCTGACAGAGGGTTGATCTCCAAAATTTACAAAGAACTCAAGAAGCAAGTCTCCAAAACACCAAAGGATCCAATTAAAAAGTGGGCTGCAGAACTAAATAGAGAATTTTCAATAGAGGAGTCTAAAATGGCTGAGAGGCACTTGAGAAAGTGCTCAACATCCTTAGCCATCCGGGAAATGCAAATCAAAACAACTCTGACATACCATCTCACTCCTGTCAGAATGGCTAAAATCAAAAACACCAATGACAATTTATGCTGGAGAGGATGTGGTGAAAGGGGGACACTCCTCCATTGCTGGTGGGAGTGCCAACTTGTTCAGCCACTTTGGAAATCAGTATGGAGATTCCTCAGAAAAATGGGAATAAACCTACCACAAGACCCAGCAACTCCACTCTTAGGCATATATCCAAAAGATGCCCATTCATACAACAAGGATGTCTGTTCCACTATGTTCATAGCAGCATTATTTGTAATAGCCAGAACGTGGAAGCAATCTAGATGTCCCTCAACCAAAGAGTGGATAGAGAAAATGTGGTACATTTACACAATGGAGTACTATTCAGCAGAAAAAAACAATGGAATCCTGAGATTTGCAGGCAAATGGATGACACTAGAAGAAACCATCCTGAGTGAGGTAAGGCAGTCACAAAAAAAAGAAACATGGCATGTATTCTCTCATATATGGATTTTAGACATAGATCTGGGGAGTGCCAGCCTACAATCCCATGGCCAGAGTCTGGGAAACAGAAACTTCATTCAGTGGTTGATGGAAGAAGAGGCAGACTCCCACGGTTAAGTACTGAGCTGAACTCAAGAAATCCAGTAACAGAGAGGGAGGACTGATAACCAAAGGGATTAAGACTGGGCTGGTTTAACCCCCAGAAACAGCTGAACTTACAAAGGTTAACTCTTGAATCCCAGGCATCAGTCTGGGAATCCAGCATGGGACTGATCAAGACCCCCTGAATGTGAGTGTCAGTGAGGAGGCCTAGGTAATCTATTGAGCCTTGGGCAGCAGATCAGTACCCATCCCGAGTATACACATGGACTTTGGACTCTCATCCAACAATGTGAGATGCACTCTCACCCTGAACTCTTGGGGGAGGGTCTAGGCCCTGCCCTGGATGAAATGACAGACTATGGACACCCCCATGGAGGGCCTCACCCTCCCTGGGGAAATGAGGGAATAATGGGGGGGGGGTTGGGGGAGGGCATGGGAGGAGGGAGGGAAAGGGAGAGGGACCTGGAATAGACTTGTGAAGCAACCTTGCTTCTAATCTAAATTTAAACTGAAAAATAAATTTTAAAAAATGTACCTTCAAAAAAAAATGTGGTCTACACTGCCATCTACACTTAGTGAGGACCTCAGCAAGACTCCAGTTCCTCACCTGTTAGACTAGGACTTTAAACAAGAGGCCAGGCATATCCCCCTTTGTAGCAATTTCTTCCCACTGAGAAACTTAAAACTGGGGGTGGGCACCATCCACCCCACCCTAATTTAGTAACATCTAAGTTTTGTTAGTCCCCCACACACACTCAGGCAACAGCAACCATGGTTGTGATGCACTTAAGATTAAGGTTTCCATGGGATGACTCTTCTGTACACAGCCTGTCTACATAGTCTGGGGATTCCTCGTCTAGCTGTTAAACGTTCATAAAGCCATTACTGCAACGAAAGCCTCATGTGGTAAAAGTTTTCCTCTGCCCCCTGGTATAGCTATTTCAATTGAGACAAGAGAGCATTCTCAAGTTCATTTAGCCTGTACTCAGTTTCCAGTTAAATGGAGAGTTGGGACAAATTAAAGGAGTACCCACCACTGAGGCAACCGTGAAGACGTGCCTTCCAACAGCACTCTGAAGATCCTCGGAGAGGGGTGGAGGGGTGGTGGGCAGGGGCGTTGTGTTGCCATGCGAGAACACTGTCAGAACACGGGGAGTGAGACATGTTCAGATATGGTAACATTTTTGAGAGGTAATGGGATCTCCGGATCGTATGGACTAGACAATACTGTGACAGTACTTTCTCTCTGGTTAGTTGTACAGAGATGAAGTCTGCCTCTTCAACGCAGAAATCAGAAAGTCTGAATAGCAGCCCCTGCTCTGCCTACAGTTAATAGCTTGCATACCATTTGTTGTCAGAGCTGAAACATTCTGGCAGCTCTTCCAAATGCATAGTAAAGAGATTGCCCTGCAAACACTAAGTGAGCATTTCCAACAATCTGACATAACCAGATCTTGATGGTTCTTTAGCTGGCTGGCGGCGGTGGTAGCGGGTGAATGTGGGTCTGTGTTTAATGTTTTAAAAAAGTGTTTGGAGAGATGGCTCAGAGGTTAAGAGCATTGGCTGCTCTTCCAGAGGTCCTGAGTTCAATTCCTAGCAACCACATGGTAGCTCACAACCATTTCTAATGAGATCTGGTGCCCTCTTCTGGTGTGCAGGAATATATGCAGACAGAACATTGTATACATAATAAATAAATCTTTAAAAAAAAAATAAAAATAAAAAGTGTTAAGAACTATCTACTCAACTTCTCCACTGTCTCCTTATGATTTCTGTTGCTTATAACAAGAATGCACCTAGGCATGTGACTCAGCTGGTAGAGTGCTGCAGGCCAAGCATACACATGGCTCTTGGTTCAATCACCAGCAAAGAATAAACTGGACACAGAGTACACATCTCTAATCCCAGCACTAGGGAGGTGGAGGCAAGGGTCAGATGTTCAAGCCATCCCCAAATACATGAGGAACTTGAGGCTGAGCTACATAAAGTCTGTTTCAAGGTGACAGAGAAAGAATATTCAGGATTGGGTTTGATGCTGGAACTTCATAAAATGAGGTAAATGGATTAAACATGACTCATCCAAGTCCACATTTTAACAGTAAGACACAAGAACAAGATGGACAGGGTTGCCTGCTTTACCTGAATACCCTCAGTCCCTACACAGAGTAGAATTTACTAAAACTGACCATCAGTAGCTAAATGCAAAGAGAGCAGGGAAATCACCTTTTACAATTGATGGTTGCATGCAGCAGCTACTCCAAAATGAAGTGGGGGGGGGGGGGGAGCAGGGACAGGACGGGACAGTACAATCCTGTCACTGAGATACATCTAAAAACTTGTCCTCAAAAATTATGTCAGGCCATTACATCCAACAGAACTGACCATCACTGATAGGTCCATAAGACAGGGTTCTGTAAGTGAACCAATGCAATGGGGAAACATTTTTATTAACAGGAGAAAGCGCTTACACACAAGCTTGGAGATCAGAAGTGTGGCAGGCTTCCAAGAGAGAGCTTTTGCTTCTGCTTTCCTTTTATCCTCACCTGTGCCCATCCCCCAAAGGGGCGTGGACAATATTGTGGGCTCACCCCTACAGGGTTAGGATTTATTTATTTGGTTGTTGAATTTCCTGGTCTGCCAATTTTAGAATAAATTACATTTTCACTGATCTCACTTCCTCTAATACTTATAAAGAAACAAAATACATTCACTTAGAAAAGTCTCTCAAGTAAGTAATCGAATATGTCAAAACAGCTCAGGCTATCAAGTGGTAACTGTAGTCTAAGCAAAAGTAAACAACCTGTAAGGTCCTATGATCTAAGGCCTGGAATACACTTAATGGAAGGATGACTACATCCAAGAAAACCTGGCAGTTAGTTCTTAAAAGTCACTAGTAACTATTTCCAAGATGAGCTTGTGTCCTTGACTGTAACTACGTTCAGTAGTTCAGATGAACTACTGTGATGTTATCAAGTAAGCTATCTAATACAAGGCAAAGATGACCACAGAAGAAGGCAGACAGTAAATGAAAATAATCTCTCAGTCCCAGAAACCTTCTGTGTCATGTGCAGGTATGTTTTGGAGAAATTATTTTTTTTCCAGAGTAAGGATTACAAAAAAAAGACATTTAAGAGAATGTATTAGAAAAACACTAAATACATTTTAACTCCAATCAGTCTAAGATTTCAGTATCATATACACCACCAATGTGCAGAATGCAAGTGAGCAGCACTTTAGAAAAACACTAAATACATTTTAACTCCAATCAGTCTAAGATTTCAGTATCATATACACCACCAATGTGCAGAATGCAAGCGAGCAGCACTTTAGAAAAACACTAAATACATTTTAACTCCAATCAGTCTAAGATTTCAGTATCATATACACCACCAATGTCCAGAATGCAAAGATTACAAATGAGCAGCACTTCTAAATGTATGTGATCATCTGATCAGCTTTACATAGATCGTGGCAGTAAACAGTGTGCCACAAAAAACCTCAGGGAAAGAACATTCATAACCTTCATAATTCCTGCTGTTTATATTACAGACATTTTTTCTACAACAGGAAGGTTGTCCATGTAAATAAACATACTGACACACTGGAAAGCATTTTATATTTGCTAGTTCCCATTCAGAAATAACACAACTCTGGATCTGCTTAAATCTACCATTTTCCTGCTGGAAGTCCTTCTGGAGAGCTTCCTCACCAGGAAAGACCAGGAACACTTGACCTTCTGTAGAAGAAAAATACTGTTCAGATGTGGCTGTCTGTTGTGACAGAGGGCCCTTTCCCTCTTGGTTCAGCAGCAGTTTCTGGCTATCCTCTGGACTAGTCAGGCAAGACGACTTTAATTTTCAACACTGAATCCCAAATAGAAATTGGTACTAAGAAATAGACAGCAACCTAAAAAGTGGGTAAGAAAATATGGTCATATTTTAGAATTTAACTCTTTTTACTTCCCTTTTCAGGCCTGAATGACTGTCATGAAGAACCTGTAGGGAGCTGTTGGCAACGGCACCAAGCCCTGCCCTGGCTGTGAGCCTCTGCAGAAGCCAGTAAGGAGAAGGGGGCTGGCAAGGACAGCAGTTGGGACCTCTGCACACATCAGACCTACGCGTGACACTTCACAGGGACCTCTGCCCAGATCAGACCTACGCGTGACACTTCACAGCTTCCTCCTGCATAATAGAAACATCTCCTCTCCCGCCTGTATGTGGTGGGGATGAGTGAGAATTCCTTCTGCGCGGCTGTAGGAGCAGGCGACACAGGCTGGGAGGATAAAGCGCCTTGCTTTCATTAATAAGATGACAGAGGAGAGCACGGCATCTGTATGAAACTCAGTCCCTTTCTGCCACGGCTGTGGCAGCGTAACACCCTAAGGACTTCCATAACATGCTCCTGGTGTCCCACATCTTTCCCTAGTATCCTACCTGAAAGCGTCTAATCAGCTTTCTTTTATCTTTCTACGCTATATACAGCACTTCCTCGCCCTCTGGAGAAATTACTTACAGGGAAATTCAGATTCTCCAAAGGCACACACAGTAAATCACACTGGTAATTCAAGGATGCTTCTAATAGGAAGCAGACAGAAGTCACCGTCACTATCATCACAGACAGACATCGGGGTTCATACATAAGAAGTGAGGAAAAGCAATCTGTCTGCACTTGGGCAATGGTGTCTTGATATTTTCCCATACATACAAATGCTCCATTCCCTTCTAATCATTCCCAGCTCCAAACTTAAGCCGTGCATCGCTGCTACGAGAACTCAGACATGAAGTAGCTGCTTCAGTAACGTTTTTTGCAGTACTGCGTGTCATTGACAAGTGGTTTGTAATGAGCCTCCACCGCACACAGTTCTTCAACAACAACACATTTATTATTCCCACTCGGTGGTTCCCGGGGGCTTTGATGTTAGGTCATACATAATTCTAGAAATTCCAGGGATCTTCTTTATCTCAGTGACCATCTTTAGCACCACCTGTTTACAAAACAAAGGTAACAAGAAAGAGTGAGAATCCACTGCATGCTCAATAATCCTACAGGGCTTGTACTTGCACCTTAAAATTAAAACATCAACTACTTTGGCTATTAATTCTTCACATAAGAGGGATGGCTCTGAATAAACTTAAATAATCTATTTCTCTGATGTAAAGTCAGGGTTTGACAACGCAACAGCATCCAAGCATGTCACTTTATATGTTAACACAATACTTCACAAACTACCTATGGCTTAAACATACAACTCCAACGCTACCAAATATTTCACAAAGCACTCTAATAATGACCGTTGTCAAGGACAGCTTGATCACTTGACTGCCATGAACATCTGACAAGCTTGCCCATAAGGAAAACAGATGCTAAACATTCCCCAAGCAGCCATCCAGCAAGACCCTGCCTAAGCCCCACGTTAGCACACAGGAAAAGAACTCAACTTTTCACCTGCTGCTGTATAAATAACTCCTCTGGAACATGTTAGTGGAAAGACAAGGAACATGGTTTAAAACAACAACATGGGATTGTAGGGTTGGATTGCTGCAATGTTTGCCCAGCATGCACAAGACCCCAGGTTCAATCCCCAGCAAGGTGGCACAGAAGGCAAGAGAATCCGCTTAAGACCATCCTCAGCTAGAGATTCAAAAGAGCAGTCTAAGATACATACCTTTAAATACCATCAAATCTCATTCTTATTTCTTAAAAAGTCCAACTCCTAGCACCATCTCCTTTATATAAGAACACTATTTATAGCAGAAAAAGTTAACGGAACTCATTACTTTCTTTGCTATCAGAATAAGCAGGCATCTGGGAGTGTACTAGATCTAAAGTCCCTTTCAGCTACACTGCATTAAATATTAAGTGGAGACAGAGAGGAAAACTGAGACGATCTACTTTATAGAGAATCAATCTGGGTCACTGTACTATGTAGCGTGAGGCGCCGACATGTATGTTAGAAAAAGTGACATCAATCACCTCTACAGGTATCTCGTTGCCAGGTGTTGCAGGCACACCAGTCATGAAGTCACTAGTAATAAAGGTTCGAATAACCACAGATCGCTGGCATGAGGGCTGTTTCTGAAGTGGATCTCGATCAAAATGTAACGGAGTCAAAATCACTGGCATCTGGCTGATTTTCCCAGCATACCCTAAAGAAAGGAACACATCAGAGCTTATCATGACCACTGTACGGGAAAATTCTGTAGCCTGGCTCAAGGAAACCCTACACAGCATCTCCAGTCTCTCTCCTACCACGTGCAAACATTACGACACTCACACACTGTGGTAGCTCACATCTGTGGGAGGCTGAGACGGAGACCTCCAATGTGAGAGCACCCAAACTACATACTGAAAGCACATCACAAAAGGAAATAAACACAAGCAAAGAATGTTTTGCTCATGGCAATGTTGTAGCAATGAGAGACATATAGAGGGAAAGTCAATATTGTTATCCAGGTAGTCCCATTTATACTATAAACACCAACTTAGTGAACACCAGCCCATTTTCCCAGAGGAAATATAAAGATAGGTTCCTATAAACCTCTAGGCAAATTTGACTCTCTGCAAAACCAAACTAAAGTGTATTTCTGTTTAAAGACACCTAATTAAGATTTATTTTAGATCCATTAACATGGAACTCACAACCAATGGAACTATGATAGCTGCTTTGACTTATTAACACATGGATCTTCAGATGAGGTAGACCACAGCTTTCTTGTGTTGAGGGGTCCAGCTAGCTCTTCAATAGAAAAATCATCAACAAAACCCCCTGAAAATGTTGAAAGTAAAACAGCAAATAGACAATGACAAGAATATTTGTCTGCAAGCCAAAACAAGAAGAGTGCAAACATGTCGATACACATTTGTTTGCTACTCTGGGTGTCTGTAAATGGCCATAAAGATAAGTTAATTTTATTTGAAAGGCAAGATTAAGGAACCTCCTATAATAAAAGACAAAAGCTATATTCTACTACTAGAAAGTAAGGGCAAACAGCTGAAAACGTTGTTACAGTGTACAGTGATAACACAATGAGTCACTTACCAGACTCCCTGAGAATGTTATGGGCCTCAAAATCAGCTTGGCGCAAAGTACTGAGCACCCCCGTTGTCAAGAAAGTAGGAGTAACGTCTGTAGGAGGTTCTTTAACTGGTGGGCCAAAGATATAGACAACTCTAGATGAAACATCAGAGAAAACGCACTACTGTGAGAAATTGTGCTTGGGACTTTGGTTCACCTCAGGACAGCTCTGGGTTGCTTGTTCCCACGGATTTGCAAGTCTGGCTTTCCCAATTCTCTCCTGATCTTTAACACCAACCATTCCAGATTAACAAGTACATTTCAAGTTTTTGTAGCAAACTAAAGACAAAAGAAGTCCCGAGCAATTCATATTTGTTAAGCAAGTAACAGTCATGAGAAAACTGGAAAGAAATTACAAAACAGGATTTAATCACCACTTCTGGCACTAAACTAAGTTTTTTAGTAAGAAGTGTTAAATATCCTCTATTTGATATTATATACAAACCACACTACACTAAACTGCTTTTCTGTAAGAGGAAGTACTTTGAATTCAGGGGCTTCTAATGAAACTGGCATAGTCAAGAATAATACAGACAGATGCTACCACCTTTAACTACTGCCTGTGACAAGCCAATCATCACAAACAGACACAATACACAGTGGAGTCCTGCTTGGTTCTGAGACAGTGAGACTTCCCCAGGGATTAGTAAACATACTGACATAAGCCATGACATAAATCTGAGTATTACCCAATCTCAGAAAACATCCTCTATCTTTGTGAGGAGGTAAGCATTAAGAGTTAGGTCCAATCTCATCTTACAAAAAGAAGCAATAACAGTTCTTATGGAAGTCCGATTTCTACTTTGAGAGATCACATTCACTCCAAGCCAATTTTACTTAAATCTGGACTGTCAAATAAAAATTTTCTGTGAGCTTTTTATGATCTGAACTCTGGTATACAAGCTACATTACAGTAAACACTAAAAGACCTGTGATATTTGTTTTGTAATAAAACAAAAAGTAGCTAACTGTTAAATATGTATTTTCTCCCTCCTTAATTCCAGCAGCGACTATTCCTGTTCCAAGGGTGCACTCGTGGGTTTCCAGGATCCTCCGTCTGCGTAGGAGAACCCTGCGGCCTGACACGTCTTCCTAACCGAACAGACCATGGAGAGGCAATCTAGTCTTACTCTTCCCTCTCTTCCACAGTACAGCGCTGCGCACAATATAAACAAAAGGTTTTCCTGCCTTTCTCAGCATTGCCCAATTCGCTTTCCAATAGCCAACACCACCACAAACATTACTGGTCCAACAGTTATCCACAGCCCAAGGATACACCAATCTGATGCTGTCTTTGTTAGGGTTTCTAATACTACAATAAATCATCACAACTAATGGCAATTTGGGAAGGAAAGAAGTTATTTCTTACACATCCAGGTAACAGTCCATTACCAAAGAAAGGCAGGAACCCAAACAGAGACGAAATCAAAATATATTAAGTATTTATCAAGCCCTTTAGTGTCTCTGTAACCAAAGTACGGAATTACAAAGAGCTGTAGCTGCAGAATCGTTATCCCTCATCTCTTACATACATGTACTTCAAGCTCTTTAGTGTCTCGGTAACCAAAGTTCTAAAATGCATACCCTCCGTTACACTTCAGCCACACACACCCAAGTCCTCTGCCACCTGCAGAAGGTACCTGTTAATGTTATGACACATTCGGGGTATAAGTCTGGCAAGGAAAATAAGAGATTCCCAGTCAGGTTCATCTTTACTGGAAATTCCACACACATAACTGTAGGAACGACAGTCACCCTGAAAAAGAAATATAACCAAACAGTTAAGTCAAAAGATGGGTCAGAAACTATCTTCCACAGTGACACTATTAGTAGTAATTTTTTTTGCTTTTTAAAATGTATCTGTAAAATATATTCTAGGTATTTATCTAGTGATACAACTAATTCCCAAATTAAAACACCTTTTATTAAAAACCACCTTTTATTAAAAACCACTTGGGAGGTGGAAGCAGGCAGATCTACGTGAGTTCAAGGCCAACCTGGTCTACAGAGCAAGTGCCAGGACAGGCTCTAAAGCTACACAGAGAAACCCTGTCTCGAGGGAAAACAACAACAATGAAAACAAAACAAAAAAAAATCTGGATCAAATTAGTAACAAAGGAACCCTAATAAACATTTCAAAGAATTTATATGAAACATGTCAGAGGTTCACTTGGATGTCATTCCAAATGGCTGCCCAACTATGGCAAACTAGTACATTTAGCTTGACAGGAAGATCTACTACCTATATTTGTATTTAGCTCAATAAGTCTTTTGTTTAAAGATAAACTTAAAATACTAACTTAGATACTGAAAACAAATGAACTATTCAATTGAGCTGATTAAGAAAGTGACATCCAAATAAATAAATAAAAAGAAAGTGACATCCACACAATGAATGCTATTCAGCCATTTAAAAAGTGCAATCTTTTCCTTTGTAACAATTAGGGTAAAACTGGAGATCTTGACGTTATATGAAGATGGGCACCAAAAGTAAGTTCCACACAATGACAGTCCTAGAATCTTAAAAGTTTGTCTTACAGAAGTTGAGAGTACAATAGTGTTGCAAGAAGGGAGGTACAAGAAGGCTGAGGAAGGATTGATCAAGGATATTAACTCACAAAGTTAAAGTTGAATTACTTGAATACATAGTAATAGTAAAATGTTTCAAGAACACAATGAAATACAATATACACATGCATCAAAGCACGGCAGTAGCTGGGTATGGTGACAAGAAGGCAGAAGTCCTCCACAGCACAGACCTGTGTTTGAGAGATAGCCCCAGACAGAACAAGAACATCCTAGGATGCACAGTGGGGAATGTAAGAGGGGTGGGAGGCCCCGCCTAGACCAATTGCAAGGTTTGTTGGCCACACCTGCTTGAGAACAGGAGACACAGGCCGCATGCTCAGTGCTCCACTTCCCATGCCCAACTACCCTTCTCCAAGCTGAAAAAAAGAGACTGCTCCAATACTTCACCCTCCTAAAATGACTTTTATTGGGGGGGAGCCTCCAGAGGCCACAGATACCCTGGAGCTAGAGCTGTAGGGCATTCTGAACAGGCTGACATAGGATCTGCTCAGGTCCTCTGGAAGCGCAGCAAATGTTCTTGGTCATTGAGCCATCCTCCCAGCCCCTAATATTTTTATGTTTATTTTTTACTTGTCCATGGTGCTTCCATTTTTCTTTTTACTACATTTTAGTAGATAGTTTAGTACTTTTTTTTTTCCAAGAAATTATTATTTGTTCCTTTTAAAGACTTGTTTTTAACTGGACTCAATCTTAGAAGTAGAAGCTCTTCAAGCAAGAACAGGTTACATCTCTTGCAATTTGTTCCTGGCGTTTTTCTTTGGCTTCCTTCATTCTCTTAGACAAAAGTTTAGCATATTCTTCTGCAGCCTTGTTTTTCTTAGTGCATTCGCCCATACACAAAAATCTCAGTAGCCAAAATATAGAATTTTTTTTACGTATTTGTTTTTACAAAGTCAGTTAACTTTGGTATTTAGAAAACAATTAGAACCAATGCCAAAATAATCATGACTTTTATCTGGGCCTACATGGGTTATTTGCACAATAAAATTGAGTAGCTAACAACTAAGGCAACTTTACTTTGTAAAGAACTTTAGAAGACCCTGAGAAAATTTTATTTCTTTTTCAGAGAGGAGGGCATTAAAACAATCTTACTTAGTAGCTCAGGTCAGCCTCAAATTCATGACAATCCTCCTGTCTGAGCTTCTCAAGTGCTGGGATCTCAGACATGAGCCATCATGCCCAGGAAGTTTTATTTCGGAAAAGAAATAAGGACTGGAGAGATGACTCAGTGGTTAAAGAGCACGGGCTGCTATTGCAGAGGACCCAGGCTCAGTTCCCACAACCACATGTAGCTAACAACCATGGGGCTGGAACTCCAGTTCCAGGGGTGCCAGCTCCCTCTACTGGCCTTTAAGGACACTGCATTCATGTGGTACAGCCATACACGCAGGCAAAACACCCATACATATTACATTTTTTTGAAATCAGTCATCAAGCAAATGCTTCAAATGAATATTTCTTAACAATTAAAAACTTCTCTGAAAAAAAAAAACATAATGGGGAACTATTTCAACATAATTCCCTATCTTGCAGGAGTTGCAAATACGTTAGTTTCTTGAGTAGACTCTAATTAAGAGTTTAAATTTTTACTACTATTGATAAACTTTGTTGGAACTGAACTCCACATGTCACATAAGAACTGAGGAAAGTTTAAAAAAAGCCTATCTACACTTTTACTTTTGTATTGCAGACATCTGCCTGTAACTATCAAAGCAAACCTCAAAATAAACATATGACAACTGAAACAAATGTATGAGCCAGTGAAAGAAAACCAGTCACGCAATTCCAATACTCAACAGTCATTTAAAAACACCGAGCTGCAAATGCAGCTTTTTAAAAGGAAGGAAAACTAGACAAACGCTCTGCAACCAAAACTGGCTAATGTGCTGGCTTTGTCCGTTTGTCTGAAGTATGAATGTCAAACAAGGGACCCTACTCCACAACATGGAAGGAGAGAACTGATGGCCAAAAGTTGATCTACACACACATACTGTGGCATATGGATGTACTCACAGTCATGAATGTACATACACACACACACAAATTAAAAATAACTTTAAAAGACCATAGTAAAATCCTGGTGTTTTAAGTAAGTTTTGTGTTGTATTACAGTCAGTTCTCAGTCACATATGCTTACAGACTACAAGCTAAACATGTATGTACTTAGGCATCTGATGCTTTCTTGCAGGTAAAGAAAGGCTTCTCGGGCCAGGCGGTGGTGGCGCACGCCTTTAATCCCAGCACTCGGAAGGCAGAGGCAGGCGGATCTCTGTGCGTTCGAGGCCAGGCGGGACCGACAGCCTCCAAAACAATACAGAGAAACCCTGTCTCATAAAAACCAAAAAAAAAGAAAGGCTTCTCGGGGCTGGAGAGATGGCTCAGAGGTTAAAAGCACTGGCTGCTCTTCCAGAGGTCATGAGTTCAATTCCCAGCAACCACATGGTGGCTTACAACCATCTGTAATGAGATCTGGTGCCCTCTTCTGATGTACATGGAGGCAGGGTGTTGTATTTGTAATAAATAAATAAATCTTAAAAAAAAAAAAAAAAAAAGAAAGGCTTCTCAAGCCACAGTGTATCTCCTAAGTGTACAGACAAATCAAATAAGGACCTAACCGTTTTGGTTCTGCTTCTACAAGAAAAATAAACCAGCCAACCATGAAGTAAATGGTTCTCTGTAAGTTTTGCTTTTGGCTAGAGGAAAAACAAAGTTCTACAACTATAAAATCTTTGCAAAAGTTTTCATTTCTTTTTGGTTTTTCGAGCAGGGTTTCTCTGTATTGTTTTGGAGGCTGTCCTGGAACTCACTCTGTAGACCAGGCTGGCCTCGAACTCACAGAGATCTGCCTGCCTCTGCCTCCCAAGTGCTGGGATTAAAGGCATGTGCCACCAACGCCTGGCTTGAAAGTTTTCATTTCTTAATAGCTCATTCACTTCATAACCATCTTTAAAACTTTTTATCTTTCTAAACTTGGAATATAATTTCATATTTGATCTTCCAAGGGAATTCCACATCCCAACTTTGTGAAAACCAGCAGCAGAGGTTCCATCGCAATGAGTGGAGGCACGGACTCACCTGCACACCCACAGTTTTAATCGGCAGCAAGAAAGCGTTCAGTGAATGGAGACTTGTAATCTGCATGAGCTTCTCCTGGTCCTCTTCTGTCGTGCAGGCTTTGACTCTTTGTAACAGGGTATGAGGCTGAGAAAAGAAACAGACATTTCCTTTCAGGTAGCAAGCAACAAGGCCTCCATGATCTTATGTGCGAGCACCAATGTTTTTAAAAGCAGATCATGCAGGGTGTGCTTTGTGCTGCCATACTGTACCAGAAAATCCCGGGGTAACGAATAGAAATTAAATTGATATGCACTGAGACTCCGGCTTTTCCATCATCTACTTTCTCCATTTTGTATTGTTAACCCTTTGCACTTCTCCTTTGCTTCTCCTTTATTGGTCTGAAGTTAAATCCTTGATTTCTATTCATACAGTTCTCTTTTTAAGTATTAACACAGACATTGAAAAAGAATCAGCCTTTCTATCCTTTTGGCAATACAAACATTTTTAATGCTTTATGTTCTCTTAGTTTTAAACAGTAACAAATATATTGTTGTAGTTAACTGTTTTATGAAGTCCGAGTCTGACCATTTTACTCATTTATAACTTTATTTGCTTATCAATACCTTTTGTAGGCTGATTATCTTCTATCTCACTGCTTTTCCTACAGCCAGTGCCTTAGGAGTGTTTCCTAACCACAGCTACAGATCCCAGACTAACAACGTCTGAAATTCTAGAGATGGGCAAGTATATACTTCAGAAGCTCCCTGAGAGCCAGATGTGGAGAGGGTCATGACTACCTCTGATAAAATCACTAATATTTATACGTAGCCTTTCTTGGTCTCTTTGTTACGAGAAAGGCAAACTACTAGGAGATGGTGAAGGACGGAAGGCAGGCAATGGACATGAGTAATGAAGGAAGATATGAAGTTAAATGTTTTTCCAGCTGTCCTGGTACTGGGTAAGTGGCTAACAACATATTCAGTGGTGACAGTGTAAATTCCAAGGGGAGCCGCACAACCTCAGAATGGATATTATAATTATATGGCTCACTCGCTGAGGGCACAAACGCTGACTAATCGATTACTTTCAGCAGGTGATGCTCATTATTCCAAGTTTTATAATACAGCTTATTTAGAAAAAAAAAGGAATAAAAAAGAACAACAACAAAAAAAATTCATCTCCTTCAGACGACTTCAAAACATTAGGAAAAAACAGCGACTTAAATTCCTCAAATCAAGGTTGGTGGTAGTAAACGCTCATATCTGTATGACTTTACTGCTCTTAAGACAGCTTGGTGTGCACCGTGGCCATCCCTCTAAGCACTGAGCACCCTGTTTGGTTTGGTTTTGTTTATTCTTCTCTCATATAACACATCCCACGTTTCGCCTCCCTCCACTTCTCCCAGGCCTCTACTAGCCCCCCCCCCCATCCACTCCTCCACCATTTCCCATGCATAAGAACAGGCACCCTCCCAGAGTTATCATCTGTAAGAGCACAACAGGTTATACACCTCCTATCAGGGCTGGTCAAGGAGGAGGAAAAGGGCCCTAAGGCCTTTTGAGGGCAGGACTGATATAGTCTTATTTTGGTTAGACAGACAGATCTTCTAAGGACAGGAGCGATAGTCTTATTTTGGTTAGACAGACAGATCCCCCAGTAGTCTCTGTGTTATGCTTTCTACACAGTCACTACAAGTAAGTATTGTTCTTAATTTTCAAACAAATAACTTCATTTTAAAACAAGAATATTAACAGCCATCTACTTTGTTCTTTGAACTGACCAGATATATCAAATCAGTTATTACCTTCTTAACACTTGCAGAAAAGTCAGCTACTATTTTCAAAATATTGTTGGTTTCAGGAAAGTCTTTACAAATATAAGGTTCTTCAGCACATATTACTCTGATTGCCAAGCCAGGGCCTACAGAATAACAACAATTTTACATCAACAATTTGAATAGAAAACTGAAAGTAATTCTAAGATATAAAACCCTTTAAATGAACACAAGGTATTTAATTTTAATTGACTCCTAGAACTAAAATTTCAAGGCTGAGAGTAGTGCCAATGTTTAACATGTACAAGGACCTAGTTCAATCTCAAATTAAATCAAATGAATTAACACAAGGCATTTAATTTTAATTGCTGGTATTAATTTCCCATCCTAATTGTCTAACTTATATAATCTCACAAAATTTTCCTCAGGAAGTATTTTAATTAAATATATGCCAATTTACTGAAAATCTATTAAGGGAATTTTCCATCATACATAAATGTAAAGAAATAACCATGTAACACTTTTTTGATGTCCATGAATTAGTAACTAACATAGAACAAACAGTGTAAAGAGTGCTTTACATATGAAGGAAGAAGTTCTTGCATTCAAACAAAATGCTGCATCAGAAAACTAAGAGGATTTGGCAGTGACTAGGAGGAATACCTGATCCCAGGGACCCCCAAGGCAGCCTGGGAGAGGTAGGGGCTAGGGGATTCTAACTTTTATTAAGAGAACTAATTGTTTTTTAGAGACCTTATCTTTAAAGGGTGGGAGAGGAAAGACACAAATTTTAATTATCTCTTCTTTCCATAGAATAAATGATATATACATCATTTATGGCATAAAAATCCTAGATGTACAACTAAGAATTATATAGAAATATCAAAATATCTCTATGCCCCCATCTCCTAATCTGGCAGCAACGTCAACTGCCAGACTCCCAGGAATCATGCAGTGTCTAATTGCAGGCACAGAAGAGAATTAGTCATCTAACAGTACAAACACAGTAGGCACTTCCAAGACCTTGTTCCCTGTCACCCTTTCCTTTCCGTCATGTCACACAGACCCAAAACAGAAAGTGACTCAGAGTGGTCCCAACTGACACCACACGAAGGTGGACAGACAAACAGAGCCCACGTGTGCTTTTACCTGGAAAAGGATGCCTGGAAATCAATTCTTCTGGCAGGTCAAGCTCTCTGCCTAAAATCCTCACTTCATCTTTGTGAAAATCTTTCAGAGGTTCTATTACTTTTCCCTACAAGGAGAAAACGGGACCAATTAAACGATTAGACTTTATCATTTAAAATATTTTCTCCTACGAGGCTATATTTCAAGGCTATATTTCTCCTATGAGGAATTAGGTGGATATTTTTAGTGGCATTTATATTCTTTGTTGAAACACATTTTAAAGTAAAAGCCTTGAAAGTCTTAGGAATAAAAACAAATTCAGGGGCTGGAGAGAGGGCTCACCGATGCACAGACATACATACAAACAAAATACCCAAACACATAAAATAAAAGAAAATGTCAAAAAAAAATCTGGGAAAACACCTCCTCTGCTCTCACCCATTTCTCATATGACACAAGACGATTGGAAAAAGTAACGTTAGTGCTTAATTTTTCCAAATGATCTGCACATGGTGGTGCACACCTTTAGTCCTAGTACTTGGGAGGCAAAGGCAGGCAGATCTCTGAGTTCTAAGCCAGCCTGGTCTACACAGAGAAAACCTATCTATAAGAAGAAAAAACAAAAACAGGGGGAAAAGACTTTTCTAAACAGTACCAATAAAAAGATGGGAAGAAATACAAATATTTTATTCTATGTGTGTAGGTATTTTGCCTGCACAAGCACCAGTTGCATGGCCATCAGATCCCCTGGAACTGGAGTTAGGACTGTCAACTGCCATGTGTGTGCTGGGAACTGAATCCCAGTCCTCTGGAAGCAGCCAAGTGCTCTTAACCACTGAGTCATTTCTCCAGCCCCAGGGAAAATAATTCCAATTCCTGTCAAGTTAACACAGCATATGAGCAAAGGGAAGAACTTCTGTATGACACCACTGTGTCAAGTATACAGGGCAGTCAAACATTTACCGTGAAGGGTGGTTATCAGACAGTAGGAGAGGAACAACAGGGCATTTGATAGGTAAGTTTCAGTTCTGCATCAGAGCAAGTTACAGAATTGGCCTAGAATCTCTACAGAGATTCCACTATTCTACTCTAGATGATAATAGGATTTATGGTTTATACAAATTTTTTTTAAAAACAGGTAAGTCTTAACAAGATAGGAAAACGAAAACTTTTAAATCTTTCCAGTGGGAATGTATAAATTCAGCATTTTGGACAGCAGCCTAACAGGAAATCAAAATGTTGAAGAGTCATTATATATAATTTAGGAAATATTTTGTTTTTGAAAGAGTCACCTATAATCCTGGATTTTAACTTGGCATATAGCTGAAGATGACCATGCAACTTTAGATCCTCCTGCTTAGACTTCATGAGTGATGGGTTTACAGGGATGTACCACTACACTAGGCTATTCTGGCAATTCTATACCTAGGCATCCACCAGAAGAAAATGAATGTTTACAAGAATTTGCAGCTAATATTTATAACATCATTTCTAACAGCCCAAATGGGTAATGTCCACCAACTGAAAAATGTGAACACATATACACATTGGAATATTATTTGGCTATAAAAAGCAATGTTACATTATGCCACAGATAAACCTTGAAAATACATGTTAAGATACTAACTGAAATAGTGGAGAGACTACCTTAAATGCCCCTCCCTGATAATGATTTTTTTTGGGGGGGGGGTTTTGAGACAGGGTTTCTCTGTGTTGTTTTGGAGGCTGTCCTGGAACTCGCTTTGTAGACCAGGCTGGCCTCGAACTCACAGAGATCCACCTGCCTCTGCCTCCCGAGTGCTGGGATTAAAGGCGTGTGCCACCAACGCCGGCTCTTTGATAATGATTTTGACGACCATCTTATATACCATCCTAGAATCTCTATCCAGTGACTGATGGAAGCAGAGGCAGACACCCACAGCTAAACACTGAACTGAACTCCTGGAACCCAGTGACAGAGAGGGGAGGAGTGATGAGCAAAGGGGTCAAGACTGGGCTTCTTTAACCCACAGAAACAGCTGACCTGAACAAAGTGGGGCTCATGGACTCCCGACTGATGGCTGGGAGGCCAGCATGGGACTGATCCAGACCCCCTGAATGTGAGAGTCAGTGAGGAGGCCTAGGGAATCTATGGGGCTTTGGGTACCCATCCTATAATGAGGGATGCTCTCTCAATCTGGACACATGGGGGAGGGCCTAGGCCCTCCCTGGAATGAAATGACAGACTCTAGAGATCCCCCATGGAGGGCCTCACCCTCCCTGAGGAATGAAGTGGGGGGGGGGGAGCGGGCATGGAGGGGAGGGAGAGGGAGATGGGACTGACAAGTGAAGCAAGCTTGTTTCTTGTTTTACTTAAAAAAAAAAAAAAACTAGCTGAGCATGGTAGACCATGCCTGTAATCACAGCACTCAGGAGGCAGAGGCTGGAGGGTCACAAAAGTCAGCCTCAGCTACACAGCAAGTTAGAGGCAGGAGATACAGGAGACCATCTTTAAAAAAAAAGAAAGAAAGAAAGAAAAAAGGAAAAAGCCAAACATAAAAGGCCTCAAGGTGTCTAAAACAAGGAAAACTACAGATGCAGAAATTAGTGGTTTGCAAAGCATGGTGACCTTTAACCCCAGCATGTGAGGCAGAGACAGGCAGATCTCTTAAGTGTAAGGGCCACCTGACCTACATGGCAAGTTTCAAGCCAGCCAGGACTATATACAGAGACCATGTCTCCAAAAATAAATTAAAAACAAAACAAAACAAAGCCAGTGGATAGTTGTCTAGAGTTGACAAGCAGAGACGGGCAGAGTACAGTTAGAAAGGACTGGGCTCCTCTTGAGGACAATACATGTTCTACAATTAGTGGTGACGGTCAGTCACCCTTGCAAGTACTGGGAAGGAGAAAGAAAAGATGGAGGAGAGGGAAATGTTCTGTGCACACACGTCATGGGAAGTTCTCACTTCTGTGCACACACAACATGGTTAGTTCTCACTTCTGTGCGCACACATCATGGGAAGTTCTCACTTCTGTGCATACACATCATGGGAAGTTCTCACTTCTGTGCACACACAACATGGGAAGTTCTCACTTCTGTGCGCACACATCATGGGAAGTTCTCACTTCTGTGCGCACACAACATGTTTAGTTCTCACTTCTGTGCGCACACAACATGGGAAGTTCTCACTTCTGTGCACACGCATCATGGGAAGTTCTCACTTCTGTGCACACACATCATGGGAAGTTCTCACTTCTGTGCACACACAACATGGTTAGTTCTCACTTCTGTGCGCACACATCATGGGAAGTTCTCACTTCTGTGCATACACATCATGGGAAGTTCTCACTTCTGTGCACACACAACATGGGAAGTTCTCACTTCTGTGCATACACATCATGGGAAGTTCTCACTTCTGTGCACACACAACATGGGAAGTTCTCACTTCTGTGCGCACACATCATGGTTAGTTCTCACTTCTGTGCGCACACATCATGGGAAGTTCTCACTTCTGTGCACACACAACATGGTTAGTTCTCACTTCTGTGCGCACACATCATGGGAAGTTCTCACTTCTGTGCATACACATCATGGGAAGTTCTCACTTCTGTGCACACACAACATGGGAAGTTCTCACTTCTGTGCATACACATCATGGGAAGTTCTCACTTCTGTGCACACACAACATGGGAAGTTCTCACTTCTGTGCGCACACATCATGGTTAGTTCTCACTTCTGTGCACACACATCATGGTTAGTTCTCACTTCTGTGCACACGCATCATGGGAAGTTCTCACTTCTGTGCGCACACAACATGGGAAGTTCTCACTTCTGTGCACACGCATCATGGGAAGTTCTCACTTCTGTGCACACACATCATGGTTAGTTCTCACTTCTGTGCGCACACATCATGGGAAGTTCTCACTTCTGTGCACACACAACAATGGGAAGTTCTCACTAATGTGCACACACATCATGGTTAGTTCTCACTTCTGTGCACACACATCATGGTTAGTTCTCACTTCTGTGCGCACACATCATGGGAAGTTCTCACTTCTGTGCGCACACATCATGGGAAGTTCTCACTTCTGTGCACACACAACAATGGGAAGTTCTCACTTCTGTGCGCACACAACATGGTTAGTTCTCACTTCTGTGCGCACACATCATGGGAAGTTCTCACTTCTGTGCACACATCATGGTTAGTTCTCACTTCTGTGCACACATCATGGTTAGTTCTCACTTCTGTGCGCACACATCATGGGAAGTTCTCACTTCTGTGCGCACACATCATGGGAAGTTCTCTCGAACCCTCACCTCTTCCCTCAGCTTCCTGATGAGCTCCGTGTCATTATGGTGGGTTTTGATGAGCTCAGCTTTGCCACTAGCCACAAGGGATGCACTTTCGATTAGATCAGGCCGTAAAGTACCTTGGGCAAGGAAAACCTCCTCTGGCTTCAAACTCATTTCTCCAATTACTTCATTGGCAATCTGTTATCAATGAAAGCAGAACAGAACAGTCTTCTAAGAAAATTTTTTTCAACAAAGTTAATGAAATTTGAGTCTTTGCAGTACTAACCAGGAAACTGGATCTATCAAACTAGGGAAACTAAATTTCTGAACACATACATTGTGTGTGATTGAAAAATATGCAAACATTCCCTTCAGCACTTCCTGAAATCTGGCCACTGATAAACCCAGTAGAAGAGCAGTGCCAGCAAAAAGGTTCCTTCTTAAACATCATCTTAGCAACATGCATGCTTTTTAAACCAAAATAGTTAATATCTGCCAGCAGGACACACACACACACACACACACACACACGCGCGCGCGTGCGCACTTACTTTACGTGTATCTTAGAAAATAAAATTAGCTAATTTTGTTGAATACTGCACACATTAAAAGAAAGGTACCTGGCCGGGCGTTGGTGGCGCACACCTTTAATCCCAGCACTTGGGAGGCAGAGGCAGGCGGATCTCTGTGAGTTCGAGGCCAGGCTGGACCGACAGCGTCCAAAACAATACAGAGAAACCCTGTCTCGAAAAACCAAAAGAAAGGTACCTTAGCCAGGTATGGTGGTGCCTTTAATCCCAGCACTGGGAGGCAGAGGTAAGTGGACCTCTATGAGTTCAAAGATAGCCCAGTCTATAAAGCAAGTTCCAGGACGGCCAGAGATACACAGAAAAACCTTATCTTGACAAACCAATATAACAAAGAGAGAGAGACAGAGAGATAGAGACAGGAAGGTACCTTAACAAAAGTATCACCAATGATTTTTCTTTTTTCCTCAGGACTTGTAGTCATATTTAATGTTTTGCTAATTCTTTTTCGTGGGGTCCTGTCTTCATCTGAGATTGGAAGAGTGGTTGTTCCATTGTAGAAAGAATGAGCAGCATTTATCACTGGGAGAGATGGGAGAAGTATTTTAAACTACTGTATTTCTTTACATCATACATATCAAGGCACAGAAAGAAAAGCATACTCTTTGATATTCTTTATATTTGCCCCTGTGTTCAATAACCAGCAATAAATCAGCAGCAAGAGTTCAGATCTGGGAAATCATTAAGAGAACTCTGTAGCATTTAGATGGAACTCAACACTGTCAACGGTGCTGGTTGCTTTCCCTCTGGTCAGTGTTCCCCTAGAACAAGTGAACACCATAGCAATACGTATAGCCCCAAGACAGTTAAAAGCTGTGGCTACTCCACAGAAAACCAAAGTTCTTCAAAAGCTGCTACCTACACATTTAGAATTAACCGGATATCCCTTTATTTATTACACAAGAGCAAGAATCATACTAGTTCAATGGCAAAGTGTTTGCCAAATGTGTACAAGGTCCTGGGTTTAATTCCCAGCACTGTCCAATTAAATTAATAATACAGCTGTGTACACTGAATTTTTAATCTACTATACCATTTCACTGTAGCCAGTTATACCATTTTAGAGACTAAGAAATATCCATGTAAATCTCCAATGTAAATATCGCTAAAAATGTTTACTAGTCATTATCACTGCTGGGCAGTGGTGGTGCACACCTTTAATCCCAGCACTCGGGAGGCAGAAGCAGGTGGATTTTCAAGGCCAATCTGGTCTACAGCGTGAATTCCAGAACATCCAGGACTGTTACACATAGGAACCCTGTCTCAAAAAAAACTAACCACTCCCCCCAAAAAAGTAACAGTGACCGAGGATCTGTCCTTTCATTGACCTTGTATATACAAGCACCCAGCTGTTCATGCAGACATTATATGTCTTCCTCTATAATGCCCCACCAATTTTTTTTAATACACTGTCTCTCACTAAATATGGAGCTCACTAGTTTGGCCAGACCAGTTAGCCAGCAAGCACAGGGACTGGCCTGTTTCTACATTCTCAGTTTGGGGATTACAAGCATTAGGACACATCTGGCTTTTTATATGGGTCCTGAAAATAAATTCAGATTCTCGTGCTTGTGTGGGAAACACTTTACCAATATGGCTTGCTTTATTTTTTTCAAGTCTAGCTATGCTACCAAAGCTAATTCCAAGCTCCTGATATGGAATGATTGTCCTACCTCAATCTCCTAAGTAGCTAGGATTCCCAATACACACAGCAAGCATGTCTGGCTAGTTTTTAATCTTTCCCTGTATGGGCTTGGGTACAAAACAACCTTCATTTGTAGAAGAGCTTAGATACCTGCAAAAGTAATGCTATGAAATCAGGGGAAGGGAGGTTTTGAGAAGACAGGAAAGACAAACAGAACAGGACAGAATGGTAGACGCAAGATGGTAACTTACTAGTTTCAGTATCTTAGGACAACAGTCAGTATTATCTAAGTCTCACCCTGGACACTTCCCGACACTACACTTGATGTCAGCCAAAAGGTCAAGAAGCAACTGAACCCTTCTTGAAACAGAGGAGATTACACATGTCAAGTAAACGGTATTTTCAGCCTTAAGTTTGGAAAAGCAGGCTTGAAGAGATGAACCCTGGTGTGGTATAAATGAACTTCTCATGATTAACTAATACCTTTGACTTGAATTCCAAGTTTTTTGAGGGCCTCTTCAACAGACTGGCTTTCTCGTTTTCTCATAAATCCATTATCAATATGTACAGCGATAACCTGATCTTGGTTTAAAGCACGATTCAGCAAAGCTGTACAAACAGTTGAATCTACACCACCACTAAGTAAAACCTGTAAATAAAATGAAGAGAAAAAAAAAAATCAAACAGGATAAACAAACAAGAAATAAACACTGCCACCTTGCATAACTATTTAAAAGTGCTTTATATGTTAAAGATATGAACCGTATTAAAGATACATTGAAGATATGCATCTCAGGTGATACAACACACACATTATATATGTACCTGTCAGCTGTCAAGGCTAAGCAACCAGCTCTGGATTCCAGTATCTGACTTAGGTTTGCAGACCCCAGGTGACTGCTGCTTACCAACACTTTCGACGTGCCCACTCTCTCTTTGATCTCTCGAATGCATTCAAGCTCTCGGTTCTGCACAGTAAAGGTCCCGCTGCATCCAGCCACATCATACAGGAAATTCTTCAGTATTACTTTCCCGTTTTCTGTAAGGCCAACTTCAGGGTGGAACTGCACACCATATAGCTTTTTAGATTCATTGGCTATACCTTCATGGAGAAAACAGCCACAAAACAATTTTATGTCGAAGAAACAACTAATAGTCACAATCCACTCCTCAGATTCTTTCTCCTATGTTAAATGTATATGCCTTACTTCAAATTTTAACTACAGAGAAAGAAAATACATAAGTAAAACTACGTTGTCATAATCTTTATAAAGTATACAGCAAAAAATTAGCTGTAAGACAGGGCAGAGATTTTACTAGATTTTCACTTCTCTATCATTACCTCGGTTTTCTTGTCTATTTAATATAGAAAACAACTCAATTTCCATATATACTCGACAACCCCCAACATTTAAAAGAAAAGTATTTTCTATTATTTCCTTTTTGAGTTTCATTAACTACAAATACAGGTTGAGCAACCCTATTCAAAGTGTTTAAGATGCCCTAGTGTAACAGTTTCTAAGATTGAAGCATTCCACTTTGCAGGTAGCTCCTTAAGCAGGAAGTAAACAACTTAAACAGCTTCAAGAAGTCCCTGAAATTGACCAGACTCACTAGACGGCCCAGAGTAAGCATTAAAAGGAAGGAAGGGAGAAACTGAGCTAAGACTGACACCAGGCCAGCTGCCTAGACAGACGTCCAGAACAGTCTGGAAACCTAGAAGAGACACTCTCCAATCTGTGAGACGCCAACTGGCTGTGCAGCGTCACCCACGCTGGGGTAGACGCTGGTGACATGGCTGTCTAGGCCATCTCTGTCCCTGTGAGTAGCCTCACTCAGGTTACTGTAGCAATCCCAGTGAAACCCACTGGCTCACTAAATTGGACTTTGGAGGTATCCATACTTTGGTCTGTCCTGGATTCCCTATCTGGGGCAAGTAGAAGTACATGTTGTGTCTCCTCAGAAAAAGTTTTGTCACATTGTCACACACAGATATTTTGGTATTAAATTTTGTATGAAACCCAAGAATAAACATAAAATTCACTGATATATATCATAGACAAGTGATATAAAATTAAACAGTATTTTGACTGCAACTTGGATTTGGGGGCACTCAAAACACTTGCAACTTGTGAATTCAAGTGAGTAATCAAATAAGTTTTGACTTGTGGAATATTTCAGATATTCAGATTAGGGATATTTACTAAATGATTTCACCTACTTGACTACAGTGCTTAACTGTTGCCAAGCAACAAGTGCTAGGTAGGGGCTTTACATGGATATTACTATCCCTGTTTTATGATCCATGCATCAAGAAATTTGCCTCCACCCTTAGTAACTAAGTCGTGCCTGGCAGGCTCAAGATCACTGCACTTCATGCTTTATCTGGCTCTTGGGACTCCACACTCAGTTTACTCATTCACTGTTTGCCCCCTCTCACTCCTGGCTGCTGGTCCTCTTCTCCTTCCTGGCCTGTCTCTACATGGAAGCTGTCTTCTCCACACACTCTCAAGTGAGCTGACAGATTCTAATATCCCATGCTTAGGCTCATCTGTAGACCTCCAGTCTAGTACTTCTCTGGAGTCAAGATGTGTAACTGAATACTGGATACCTTTGTTTTGGTGTTTAACACATCATCTTGAGTTTCATGTGCAAACCGAAACCCCTGAGTTCTTTCCCTTTAAGAAAATAGAAATTCTACTACCCATCTGTTACTGGGGGGGGATCCAGCATTTAAGACCTGACTATTTTACCTTTGCTACTCCATAGCAGGAAACAAATCTTTTATCTGTCCACTCAGAGCATTATCACAATCCAAAGATGTGACTAGTCTGTCTAACACCCTGCTCTAAACTTCACTTTTCTCCCCTGATACCAGAATATACCACCTTCCTGCTTCTACCATGACCAAGTCTACTTTCTCCTCATGGTAACATAATCCTGAAATCAGATCATGCCTACCCTCTATTCAGAACACCACTTATCCAGGAATAAAGCCAAAGCTTAAGATCACTCAAAGCCCCACTACCTCTCGTGTTGGATTTACCCTTGCATATCTCTCACTACAGGCCCAGCTCGGACACTGCTTGCCATTAACACTTCCCTCAAAACAGTAACCACTAGTCACAATAAGGCTCATTACTTCTGCTTGCTTTTTGAATAAGGAGACCCCGCCCAGCTCAGTGGGGGCTTCCTCCTAAATGCTGGGTTAGACACAAACCACACCCAAACATCCGTCTTCATATGCAAGGTCATTTGTGCTGTTCTTCTGCCTGAGTCAGAAAGCAGCCACTAACTTTCTTTCCCACCGTTCACATCCTCTTGGGCCCATACCCAGACGCGTGCGTGCGTCCCTATGAATGAGCTACCGGCTTCTAACTTAGTGTCGTAAAGCACTATGGATTCTGAATGACTCCCTCAGGTGACAATGGCTCCTGCACACTGACAACAAACAGCTGTGAAAGAACAAGCAAGGACTTCATGCCAAAGCTGACAGACTAAGTTCACTCAGTGGGACACAAGTAGGGGGGAAAGAACACAGTAAGTGTGAAAATAAACACTCTAAATGAGCACTCATTTAAAAGTATCTCACACAGATCACTATATCTCCTCGTGATTACTCTGAAAATTCAGAACTTTTACCTGCCACAATATTCCCAGAGCGTGCTACAACCTTGAATCCATCAGCGACTTTGTCTACACTGTCTCCATGTGTAAGTAAAACAATTTCTTCCTTCTGAAGTCCCCTAAAAACATGTAAAGAGGAAGATTTTTAAATGTACACACAAATATCAACGAGAACCATATCAATAAATCATTGTACTACTAGTTTTACAGCAACATGAAACAAGTTAAGCGTCATCAGAGAGAGGGTACCTCAATTGAGAAAGTACCTCCATACGGGTGTAGGCAAGTCTGTGGGGCATTTTCTTAATTAGTGATTAGTGGGGGTGGGGGCAGCCCTGAGCTGGTTGCCCTGAGTTCTCCAAGGAATCAGGCTGCACGAGACACAGGGACTAAACTGCACTCCTCCATGGCTTCTACATCAACTCCTGCATGTAGGTCCCTGATCGGCCTAAGTTCCTGTCCTGATGTCCTTTGACCATGAACAGTGATATGGGAGCCTAAGCTAAATAAACCCTTTCCTCCCCAAGTTTCTTTGTTCATAGTGTGTCATCATAGTAACAGTAACTCTAAGACAGTCATTTTGTTTAGAAACAGAAGTTTGCTATATGGTAGATTAAGAAAATGTAGGGGGTAAAAGTTGCATAGCAATGCAACACTATTAGATTTATACATATATTAAATTTATGTAAATATAAGTATGTTCTTATATTATTTTATATTTATATAAATATTTTATAATAAATAAAGCCAATAAAGGATTTGGTGTTTTTTTGGGTTTTCTGAGGCAGGGTTTCTCTGTGTTGTTTTGGAGGCTGTCCTGGAACTCACTCAGTAGACCAGGCTGGCCTCCAACTCCAGAGATCCATCTGCCTCTGCCTCCCGAGTGCTGGGATTAAAGGCGTGCACCACCAACGCCTGGTACCAATAAAGGATATTAAATCTCAAAGAGGGCAACTAATGAAAATTGAGAACTAGGGCTAGCTCAGTGGCTTAATGTAATCACAAGGATCCAAGTTCAAATCCACAGTATCCACATAAAAAGCCAGTTGCAGCCACATGAGGCCCCGGAACTCCTGAGACAGGAAAAGTCTCAGGTGTTTCCTGGCCTAGCTTCAGGTTCAGTCAGAGACCTTGGCTCAAGAGAATGAGGCAGAGAGCGAAGAGTAGGGTGTCCAACATTCTCCTTTGGCCTCTATGTGATGCTCACGTGTGCACACCCACCACACACAGACACCATATACAGCGCCCGTGCTTGAGCGTGTATGCAATACTGAGACTGCTATTCTGCAGCTACATGTAAGGTAAAATGCAGGTTATTATGTAGCCAGTAAACAAGATTTTCAGGTTAAAAGAAGGACACACTGGGCTGGAGTGACAGCTCTGTGGTTTAGGGCACTTACTCCCCTTCCAGAGGATCCACATTTGGTTCCCAGGACCAACATTAGGCGGCTCACAATCACTCACCCTCTTCTTGTCTCAACAGGTGTGCACACCCACGGAATACACACACACACACACACACACACACACACAATAAATATAGCTTAAGAGTAAGAGGCATTAAAATCAAAACGTTTGGATGAAAATCCTATATTTTAACTCTCATATTAATTAGAAATAATTGTATGTACTGATTATTCAAAAAATACATTGCCTAATTGTTTACAAAAACACCTAGAAATAAGTACAACCAGCACACAAGGTGGCGCTCTAGTGTAAAAAAAAAAGAATGGTGTTTGAAGTGGTTAGCCCTGTGACCCACATGGTAACATAAAAGACCAATTCCCAGCAGTCCTCTAAACACCACACATGCCCCATGGCATTTACACACACACATATACATATATACAAATAACAAAGATTTAATACACACAAGCACACATACATCATGCATACATGCATAAGTAGACACAAAATTAAGATACCTGAACAATGAGCATGTGTTATCCATTGTAATATTGAAAACTCCATCTTCTCTAACACTTTTCTTATGCACAGTGCCTCCAAAAACCTTATTCATCATCTAATGAAGGAGGAAAAACATGAATGTTAATGAGTCAAAAGAAGTTTGTATGCTAAAAATATTCACTTATAACCTTTGCTCTCAAAATTTATGTAACATAAATATAACTGAGCAAACAAGTATTTAGTAAATGTAGGTAACTATAATCACTATATATAAATTATTAAGAAGCATGAATTTATAGCAAAATTTGACAAGGAATTTGACTTGAGATTAATTTCTGTTAAACACTGACAGACCTTCCATTTGGTATATTTTAATTCACATTAAAAAGAGAAATTTCAGACTGGTGTAGTGCCATGTCTTTAATTCCAGCACTCAGGAGACAGAGGCAAGTGAAGTTATGTGGGTTCAAGCCATCCTTACTCTATGTAACTGAGTTCCAGGATAGCCATAGCTACATAGTAACACGCTGACTCAAAAAGAGAAATTTCCCTCAGCTCAGAATTTAATTTAAAACCTCCTGCAAAGATACTCTGCGATTTAAAAAGCCATAGCAAGTAAGAACTGTAGCACCAACACAGGAGATCTATAGAGATGCCTAAGAGGCATGAAGGAAAAACCTATGACCCTTTTTTTGAATGGTTGAATTAGAGAATGACAGATGAGAGGAAACACTGGACACCAGATAAGGGCAATGCAATGAAGCCTTGTACTCCACATAAATGCACTTAGGCATAGCGGGGCACACCTTTAAAACCAGCACTCTGGAGGCAGAGGCCAGCCTGGTCTACAAAACAAGTTCCAGGACAGCCAGGGTTGTTATACAGAGAAACCATGTCTGAGGGAGGCAGGGTGAGAGGACAATAATGCTACTACAAATAATAACATAAAGGACATGAACTTCATCTGCAAACCACAAATCTGGTCAGCTTCGGTATGTAACTTCGGATTTAACTTCCCCTGCAATCAAAGAATAATCTTTACTCTTCCAATAGATGGAAAGAATATATTAAAAAACTCAAGAGTTCAAGGTCCTCTTAGCCACGAAGCAAAGGCTTTGAGGGCAGAATAAGCTCCATGAAACCCTGTTTCTACAATATTTATTCTGTGTATTTGCTGTAAAAACCTGTTTCTTTTCCTTTGTTACATGCTAAAGGCAAAAGGGAAAACATGCAAAGACAATTTATAGCTGGGAATGTTGGTGTATGCCTTTAATCTCAGCATTCAGGAAGTAGAGGAAGGCCTGTATCTGAGTTCAAGACCAGTCTGGTCTACAGAACGAGTAACAGGACAGCTAGAACTGTTACACAGAGAAATCCTGCCTCAGAGGAAAAAAGACAGTTTATAAACTGAACACATTAATACATGGTTATACATTAATCTGGCTTTTCTTTAAAACCTTTTTTTATGTGTTAGTGTTTTGCCTGCATGTATGTATGTATGTATGTGTGCCAATGCATTCCTGTGTCCTCGAAAGTCAGAAGAGGGAGCAGATCTCCTGGAACTACAGTTACTGCTATCATCCCTGGGTACCAGAACTCAAACCCAGCTGCTCTGCTCTTAACCACTTACCATCTCTCCAGCTTCTTGGCATAGAAAAAAAACCTTAAGAATTTCTTGATTTAAAAAAATTTTTTTTGAGTTTAAGAGGAAAGGGGTATATGATGGCTATTCTTGGTTGTCAACTTGATTACAACTAAAATCAACTGAAAACCAAGTTGCTGGGCACACCTGTGAGGAATTTGTAGTTAAATGAATCATTTAACACAGGAATTGTATTTATACAATTGAGGCTGAACACGAACACACACACACACACACACACACACACGACGCACGCATGCACACACACAAAAGAAAGTCTGGGCCCATCTTCTCCTGGCAGTCAACATACCTGGAACTCACTTTGTAGACCAGGCTGGCCTCGAACTCACAGAGATCCGCCTGCCTCTGCCTCCCGAGTGCTGGGGTTAAAGGCGTGCGCCACCACCGCCCGGCTGAGAAAGAAAACTTTGCCTTTGCCAGCACCTCTGGCACTAGAGCCTACTTCTTTGGGATTGTGATGTACACTGAAGTCCAGCTGAGACATCCAGCCTCATGGACTGAACAACTACTGGATTCTCAGACTTTCTGCTGGGAGACAGCCACTGTTGGATTAGAGGGACCATAGCCTATAAACCACTCTAATAAACTCTCTCTCCCACTCCATATATGTTCATTCTATCAGTTCTGTTCCTCTAGAGAACCCTGACTAACATGGGGGGAGGGGGACAAGAAGTTTTTTTTTTAAAGGGAAAATATCACAGTACTCAAGGCTTCAGCAGGAGGATTACCCACTTGTAGGTAGTTTGGACTATGCATCAAAAAGTTCTGTACCTAAGCAAGCTGAAAGAGAGGGAAGGAGGATAGAGGGAGAAAAGAAAGGACAGGGGAAGGAAAGAGGGGACTCATTAAATGTACTAATATGCAACTAATCATAACACATTATTCATTATTTCCAGATGATCCAATCAAGTAAGACAATGTTTACATACTATAATTTCGATAATTTTTAATCTGGTTTATGTTTCTATTCCTTTAGAACTTGTTTGGTAAAACTGATATTAACATTATCTGTTCTCATAGTCAGTGACTTTGTACGTATCTGGTCCATGGCTAAAATGGCCAATGGAGAGCACAACACCAAACAAAAGAGGCTGGGAGAAACAACAGGAGCTCCCACTGTTTACAAACGGACAGACAGCGGTGGGACAGAGTGGAGCACACATCCAATTCCAAAACTTGGGGAAGCAGAGACAGAGGTATCTCTATGAGTTCAAGGCTAACCCGGCTTACATAGGTTCTAGGCTAGTGAGGACTGCATTGTGAGACTCTGTCTCAAATAAACAGATAGGATAGACAGATGGACAGAAAGACAGATACACACAGACAGACAAACGGTGGTGGTTTGTTAAGAAATCTAGTTACTTATAAACAGGTTTCTTTATAAGGTCAACTTTACTATAGAATCAATACACAGCAGTAATATGCCTAAATTATCTTAAAGAGACAGTGGTTTAAATCACAAGAATAAAACATTTAGTCAACTCTCAAACTCAATTTTCAGCTGTACCTGCATGCCATAGCAAATTCCAAGAACAGGCTTGCCGATGGTAAATATTGCTGGGTCAAACCAGGGAGCATCCTCTGCGTACACAGAGTTAGGTCCTCCAGATATGATAATAGCCCTGTGGATTGAAAGGAGTCAGTACAGAATGTGATGCTAATCTTTAATTAAGATCTGTCCCATTTTGTACCATATGCCCAGTTCTTAAGGGTTAGCCCAAATCTGTCATCTAATTTAGCTACGTTACAATTGGCAACAAAATATTCTGCATATTCTAAAAACTTAAAAATATTTCAGGAGTAGGACTATCACAAGAAATTCGTGTTTACTGGTATTTGGGGGGTGGTTAAAATCTAAAGCTGACTTTACTGTTTGGCTTGTTTCTGGATTTTGGGGGGACAGTCTCACTATGTTGCCAAGACTAACATGGAACTCACTACCCACCTCCTCAGCTTCGTGAGTGCTGGGAAAATAGCACACACTGCCACAGTCGCTAGACATTAAGCATGCACTCCTGTGGGAGGAACTATGAACAGCTACAATCAGAAGCAGTTATGCGGGCCAGCCTGCAGAGGAGCGCCTATCTAGAGAGCAGCAGGAGAAAACAAAACAAAGAAAGCACTGGAAGCTGGGGTGGTATGAGCCAAATGTGTAAAATAATCTTAGACGGGTATACAACAGCATCAGGTACTGTGAGTGACACCTAAGGGCTGGAGAAAAAAAGGTTTGGAATAGCACTAGAATAGATACATAACCCATTCCTAACAAAGCTAACTCTGTAAGATGCAGTAAAGCCCAAAGCTTGCCCAGTGGTTGGTAGAGCACTTGCCCAGCTTTTAAGAGGTCCTGGCACCAACAAAAGACGAGGTGCGGGGAAGCAAGCACGTAATAGTCAGGAGCGCTAGGCTCTCAGGCATGTTTACAATTTCCTTTTTTAACTGTTGAACCACAGCACTTGTGGAAATCAGAAGCTAACACGGAGTCCGTTCTCTCCTTCCGCTCACCGGCGGAGCCATCTTGCCAGCCCCATGTTAACTCTATCAGGTGCCACCAGGGCTTCCCAGTGAGAACTGTCTACAAAACAGTAACCACTGTGCCCGGATCCTTCCTTCGTCCATTCCAGTCTACTAAACAACTCCAGGCTAGAAGGTCTCAGTAGTATTAAACGGAAGGCAAACTTTAAAGACAGATTAAATAAAGGATAGAACTCCAGGAGTACTTAAACCAAGTGTGAAAATCCTCAACAACTGAGGTGAACCAACACTGTGAGTCTTATAATACCCAACAAGTTATACAAATCACGCAGGTGAAGGCCATAAAGGTGGGCACCAAGTCTGTCAGGATACAAAACTAAAAGAACAACAGTTAAGCTGGCTGTGGTGGCACAAGCCTTTAATCCCAACCGCGAGAGGCAAGAGGACCTCTGTGCATGGTTTACAAACTGAATTCCAGGATAGCCATAATTACATAGTGAGATCATCTCTAAAACAAAACAAGCAAGCAAACAAAAAAGAAATGGCCAAATAGAACTTCCAGCAGAAAGGATCAAAGAAATAAAAGTCACAGTGATAAAATACCAATGTAACTTGTACAAAACAAAAAACAAAAAAAGTCCAAACAGGATGTCCTCATCAAACCCTTCCCCCAGGGAGCTCAGGGAACTGCAGAGAAAGAAAGACTGCAGGAGAGGATGGGTGACACCAAGCAAACAGCGTCTTCCAGATACAGCAGGGCTGACACACATATGAACCCAGAGCCTGGAACACAGGGCGCACTCAGGTCCAAACCACATGGGGTCCTAGAGCTGAGAAGGGAAGTGACATTATATCCCACCCCTAGCCAGGAAGCTGCCTCCCACTGGCAACTGCTTGCAAAGGAAAATTTAGTTTCTGCAATGGAGTCTCACTGGGTATTCAAACCACACTTAAGGACAGGCACCAAGCCCAGCAGTAGATGGTCGCAGAAAATCATAACGCTTTGTTAGGCTTTTTTTTTAAGCCTTATTGGTCTTTTGCTTGTACTTTTTTGTGTCTATGTGTCTCTTGTGCTTTTTCTTTCTTTTTTTATTCTGGCTTTATTATCTTTTTTACTGTTTTATTTTTCCTAAAGAGAAAGGTGTAGAGGTGGATGGGGATGGGTGGGGAGGATCTGGACGAGGGAAACTACGATCAGAATTTATTATGTGGAAAAGAATTATTTCAATACAAAAGAAAAGGAAGCAGCTCTGAGGACTTGAGAGATGGATGGCTCGGCAGTAGGGAGCCAGGCTCAGAACCATCTGCAACTCCAGTCCCAAGGGATCTGATGCGGAGCACCAGGGATGCACATGGGTGCATGGCAAACACCCACACACATAAATAAATAAAAGGACATCCGCTGGTAGCAAGCAGCTAAACAAAGATAAGACAGTATGCACCTGAATCCCCAACTCTACAGAAAAAGGCAGGAGGGTTAGAGAAAGAACTCTCTGGAGACCAAGAAAGCTCATAAAATACTGAGTTTGGGGGCTGGGACAGCAGTTAAGAGCAGTGGGTGCTCTTCCAGAGGACCCTGGTTCAATTCCCAGCACCCACATGGCAGCTCACACCTGTATGTAACTCAAGTTCCAGGGCTTCTAACACCTGACACAAATACACATGGGGGGGGGTATTGACTACTAGGAAGGCCGTTAAGAGCTTGCCATGCAAGTCTGGTGACCTGAACTCCTTCCATCATCATAGTCCAAGGGAAGAACTGATTGGGGGGGGGGGGAATGTTTGTCTTATTGGTTGATAAAGCACTGTTGGCCAATAGGAAAGCAGGACAGTTGGGCCTAGGGGTTGGGGAGGATTCTGGGAGTGTAGTAAAAAGTAGGAGTCACCATGTGATCCTGTGAAGAGGGGATACATCAGGATGGTGTCCTCAAAAAGATAAGTCCTTATAGAAATATATACTAGTAGTCATGGCTTATACTTAAGACAGAACTAGCCAATGTGAAGCCCTGGACATTGGCCGACAGCACTGTAACTGATAGAGTCTCTGTGTGTTATTTGGGGTTGAAGCGTCTCTGGGCTCGGGCAGCTGGCAGAAGAATACACATTTCACAAGAGTAACTCTCAAGTTTGATAACTGAGCCAGAGACCAGCCGGTAGATCAAACTCTGAAGCCACCTGCTAATCATTGCTGTTGAGTCCTACTATGATGGCACAGGTGTTTGATACCCTCGGCGACAGTCCTCCAGCAGGGTTGTTAATTAATTAATATACAGGAGGTCTTGAGAGAACAAACACAGGTCCTTTGTCTGTACAGATCAATACCGTAGCTGTTCTCCACACTCAACACACTTGGAAGTCAGCCCTACATTAGCTACCCTGGGGACATGAAGGAATCTGCATAGGGTGACAATCTGCCTAGACCACAGACCGAAAGGCTCAGTGTGCTGCAGACGCCTCTGTATACAGAAGGAAAACCTGTGTGGAGGAGAAAAGAGGAGCAGTGGGAAGGAAATGGAGTAGAATCAGAACAAAGTATAATGATACACATCATCAAAACAAACAAAAAATTAAGACATCAAGCTTATCTTTTTACCCGAAAGTATAAATTATTCCTTTTAAATTCCAAATCAAAGCTATAGGAAATTTCTTTAAAAAACCAAGCTGGGTTTTTATAGAAAAAACCCACATGTCCAAGTAAACTAATCATAAAACATCCCAAGATGTAAAACTCAAACAACGATCAAAGGTTACCGAAATCCTTGCTCCTTTATGGCGAAAGCTGGTGTTTCCAAGGGGAAGATCTCTGACTGCACAAAGAGCTCCCGCACTCTTCGGTCGATGACTTTTCCATACTGAGCCCCAGCATCCAGAATGACAACAGCTCCTTCGTACTCGTGACAGCCATCCTTTAGGTCTCCTCCAGCATTCTCTGGCTACAAGTAAAACAAACGGAAATTCTGATTTACAAAAGCTACATTACTTATTAGGGCGGGCTAGTAGGGTGGCTCAGCAGGAACAGAGTTGTACCCAAGTTTGAGGACCTGAGTTTGATCCCAGAGGCCTACACAGCAGGAGAGAATCAATTGTCCTCTGGGCTGGGAGGTAGTAGTGTATACCTTTAATTCCAGTACTCTGGAGGAACAGGCAGGCAGAACTCTATGAGTTCAAGACCAGCCTGGTCTACAAAGTTCCGGGACAGCTAAAGTGGCTACCCAGGGAAATCCCTACACACACACACACACACACACACACACACACACACACACACACGTTCTCCTCTGACATGCGTTCTCCTCTGACATGCATGCTGTGGCACACTGTGTCTTCACATACACAATATAATTCTTTTTTAATTACACCATTTTAAAAAACAGAGGGGTCACTGTTAGCTCCAAAATCACACAGAAATGCAACTTGTTAACTTATGTTGCAGACAAACAGCTCTGTTCTAGCAGTCCTGATTTCTGCCTGCTATGCCAGCATTCCTATTACTTGTGCCTCCTCTAGACAGTAAGTCACATGATTGCCCCAATAGGCTTGACATTCCTCTGAGAAGCATATTAAAGATGTGGTTAAAACCTGCCACTGCAGTGTAAGTATGGCTACATTCACTTTAACTAAAATCTTTTGCAACAGACATATCTAACCTACAACACTAACATTTTTAGAAGTTTTCAAACAGTGTATGTATGCCACCTGTGTACAGGAGCCCAGAGCCAAAAGGGGGCATCAGAAACTGGAGATAGTGGCAGCTTGTGAACTGCATGTCGTGGGTGATAGACACTGAACCGTCGACTACCAATTTTCCTATCCAACAGTTTTCAACAAGTAAGGTAATGCAAAGAGCAGCACCCAGTAATGAAGGCAAGTTCTTTTCTCTTCAAGCTCTGTACTATTCACAATGTGGTTTAATTAGATTTTCAAACTTATTTGCATCATATTGCAAAAGCTGTTTTAGTTAATTATTCATGGTGGCACAGGCCTTGAATTCCAGTACTTTGCAAACACACAGCAAATTTATAATGCTAACATTTTGTGTAGTGGTAGATCATTAGTTCAAGGTCATCCTCAGCTACATAGTGAGTTTGAGGTCAGCCTAAGGATGAACTACACAGTCACAAAGTCTGTCTAAACAAACCTTTCTGGATCTATCTGAAGGATTATGTTCTGCCTTGATGTGTTTTATTGTATCCACATGATTCTAACTGTCGTTGACAGCAACACAGTTGTTCATCTTACATAATGCAGAGTATCTTTAGGAAATAGTGTTGGTAAGAAAAAGTAGACATCAGATATCCAAGCACAGTAAAAGTACATTACCCAGGATCTGAGATCAGAATACATAACACATGAGTTTCTATTACAATTATTTATTGAATTACTCATTTTACATTTCTGTATTTACTTAGTGTGTCGGTAGACACACATGCCAGTGCATGTAAATAAAGGTCAGAGGACAACTTGTGAATTCTGAAGATCAGAACCTGGGTTCTCACACTTGTGTGGCAAGCATTTTTCTTTCCCACTGAGCCATCTCTCCAACCCTTACTATGTATTTTTCATGTATAGGAAAACAACATTGTTGCCAGAGTGTGAGGGAACTTCAGAAGTGATAGAAATACTTATACTGGGGTGGTGGTGGCACACACTATAAAAATTCAACCTATATACTTGGAGATCTGTACAGGTGACCACTTACTACATCTACTCTAAATAAAAATTTAAATTAAAAAACAATCCAAACTATTACCTACCTTCACAAACCAAAAGATGCTGCCACAATGATAACTGTCCCCCTCAATCTTCAATGGCATTAGACAGTGAAGCTCTATGCCAGAGTCATTGACAGAGCCAATACTCAAATCTAAGAGCCAGTTGGCCTGCTGCAGAATCACAATTTTGGGGCTTAGGTTGCACCTGACGAGCATGTGCCAGAAGTGGGGTCAGGGAGGGGATCAGAGGGGCTGGGAGGAAGGAGAAGGGAAGCAGGGGAGACCAAGAGGAGATGCAGCTCAGTGGACAGCGTTTGTCTGGGCTGTGAGAAGCCCTTCATTGCTCTAGCTCATACACACAGTAAAAAAAATAACAGGTGCTGAGCACCTGTGGCCAGGAGTTGTTACCTGTGTAAAATCAGTAGCACTGTTGTATGTAAATAAATTAATTGAAACATGTTTTTAAAGACTGTATTTATTATAAAACAATTATCCAAAGAAGTGAAAAATCAGTTGGGAGTGGGTTCACAGATTTGTAATCCCAATACTCAGGAAATGAAGGCTGGAGAAACTTATGGACAACTTGAGATACATGAGATCCTCTCCCTTCACCCCCCCCATAGCCCCTCCAAAGTAAAGTCTTCACAATTAATATCACAAGATAATAAGACAAACTGAAACGTAACACAAAAAAAATGAAAAGCAGCCAGGTGGTGGAGCAGGCCTTTAACCCCAGCACCAGGGAGGCAGAGGCAGGAGGATCTGAGTTCAAGGTTAGCCTGATCTACAGGTGTTCCAGGACAGCCAAAACTACATAGTGAAATGCTGTTTCAAAAAAAAAAAAAAAAAAAAAAAAAAGGTTGGGGGATTAAAAGTTAGCTAGCATATTCATGGTTTTTTGTTTTTTGGTTTTTTTTTTTGGTTTTTCGAGACAGGGTTTCTCTGTGGCTTTGGAGGCTGTCCTGGAACTCACTCTGTAGACCAGGCTGGTCTCGAACTCACAGAGATCCGCCTGCCTCTGCCTCCCGAGTGCTGGGATTAAAGGCGTGCGCCACCAACGCCCGGCGCATATTCATGGTTTTTAGTTCCTCCAGCATCATGGTTTTTAAAAACAAAAACAAACAAAACAAAGTCCATGGATTAAAAATAAAAGCCTAATGAATTATGATTGTATGGGAACAGAGTTTGGTGAAAATTTGGCCCACTACAAAGACACTCTCTCTTGATTCATAGAGGGCTTATTTTTGTTTATTTTGTCTGCAGCGAGTATATTAAAAAGTTATAAAAGGTAAAGTGAGTGTTGTGGCTTACACTCCTAATCCCAGCGTAGCATTGAAGAGGCTGGGGCTGGCGGCTGTCATGACTTCCAAGCAAGCATGGACTACAGTGTAACCACGGATGCTGGGGCTGCAGAGACGCTCCACCATTAGAGCACTGGCGGCTACTCCAGACGATCTGGCTCAGCTCCCAGAACCCACGTGTGGCTCATGGCCATCTACAATTCCAGTGCCGAGGATATGGTACCCTCTTCTAGCCTCCATCGGCACCAAACACCTCCATGAAGGCTAAATACCAGTTTCTTAGCTTCTTAATGCTGTATGTGATAAGATACACTATGACCAAAAGTGACTTGGAAAGGTAAGAGTTTATTCCGTTGACGATGGTGGTCCATCACCAGGGAACTCAAGGCAGGAGAAGAGAGCCATTAAACGAAGACTGCTTGCTCCCCAAGCTGGCTTACACAAGGTGGGGGCACTCCCACCCACACCAAAAGCATGCCCTACAGACTTGCCTACAGGCAATCTGGGAGGCATTTTCTCAGCTGAGTTCATCTTCCCAAATATCAAAAGCCAACCAGAACACCCAATTACATAAAATAACGGAATTTTTAAAGGTTTTTAAAAACCTGGGCTGGAGAGACTTATTCAGCGATTATGAGCACTGGCTGCTCTTCCAGAAGACCCAGCTTCAATTCTCAACAGCCATGTGGCCGCTCACAACTGTCTGTAATTCCAGTGCAAGGGATCTGGTGTCATTTCCTGGCCTCCACGGGCACACAGGCACACACATGCAGGCAGAACACTCAAACATTTTTTGAACAAAGTGTAACAGTTTGTGCATGTAGAGGAAGCTAGTCTTAGACTAACACTGGAAGGGGCTGGGATAACATCTTCCATGGTTAATTCTAATTGCTCAGCTTAAAGATTAGGTTAGGTGTTTTGGTTTTTTAATTTGTTTTTCATTTTATTTTTTAATTCTGAATAAGGGCTTGTTTTGTTTTTCCAGACAGGGTTTCTCTGTGTAAAAGCACTGGCTGTCCTGGAACAAACTCTGTAGACCAGGCTGGCCTCGAACTCAGAGATCCGCCTGCCTCTGCACCACCAATGCCCCGGCATAAGGGTGTTTTGCAGGCATGTGCTATGTCTGCGCCACGTGCATGCAGTGTCCGCAGGGGACGGAAGAGGGCGTTGGATCACCGGGGACTGGAGTTACAGACCAGCTAAACTGCTTAACGCCCCCCATGACCCTGAAATAAAATTTAGCTAATTCACCGTAAACTCCTATCAGAAATCAAAACTCTTTTTTTAAAAGTTTTTAAAATTATGCTCATACTGTTGAGATCATTTGAAAACTGAAATTTTAACTTTCTGGTACGACTTAATTTCGTGAAAATACTCTTCTGTATCGCAGTGTGTATTTTTCAAAGCTTGTAAAGTAGGCTTGTGTTCCTCTGATACCTCAGCGGATTCATGCACCATACAGATGCTAAATTAAAGACAAATGAACCTAAGTATGTGAGAGCGTGACAGGTGCCTAGCTTTGAGACTATGGATAGGAGCGACCTCACAATGTTCATTCATTTGTTCAATGCAGGCTCTGTGTGATTACTAAGTATTAAACAGCCATTCGAGAAGTTGTGACGCTTAAGCTCCGTCTTTGTAACAGCACTGAAATTATGCGTGGCTGTGGAACTCGATCCTCGCTTCAAAGCTCGGAGTCTCATACACGCGAAAGGAAATGGAACCAGTTCCCTAAAGCCAGGCCACAGCGACGCAGAGGGTGATGCGCACCTCGCTGAAGCGAATCGCAGGTCAACCCTGCAGTTTCCCGCTTTGAGGAGGTCATGAAGACCTCCCGGCCAAAGCCGACTTCAACTCGGAGGGGAAAGGCAGGGGGCCGAGGCCGGGAGCTGAGGGCGACGAGCTCATCAACGGCCCGACAACGCTCTCGGTCTGGGCTCACGCCCTTGGTCAACTCGTCCAGCCCTCGGCTCGCAGCGAGAGACCCGGCGGCGGTGAGCAGGTCCCCAAAACCAGCGCGTGAGGCCGGCGGCGGGGTGCGCAGGACCGGAATCTGTCACACACCTCCCCTCCCTCCGAGGATGGCGGGAGAGCCGGCGCCGGACGGAGCACACCTGGGCCCCGGCGCAAAGGGGGCGCTCGCCGGGACCCCACGGCGGCGGGAAACCGAACAGCCAGGCCCCCGCCCGGGCGGGGAAGACCACGGGCCCGCCGGCGCTGACGCCGCACGCGAGGGAGGCCCCGATGCGGCCCCAGGGCCTCGGCGTCCCTAAGGACCGGGCCGCCGCACGGATCTCCCACTGGCGAGCCGATCGGGCGCCTCCGACCGCGGGAGGCCGCGCCGCGGGCCGGGCCGAGGGACACGGCCGAGCCCCCGGGTCTCGCTCACGCCTGCGGAGAGCGGCGGGGACCCAGGCGCACACTGACCTTGGAATCTCCGTTGCACAGGGCCATCGCGGCGGGGGGCGCCGAGGGGATCGGCGCCGCGGGCGGAGACCGCTGGAGAGGCCTGGAGACGAGCGGCGCCGCTCCGGGACCAGAGAGCCGCGGTGAGCGTGCAGCACGGCGGCAGCTCCCGAGCACAGCGGCGGCGAGCGCGGCTCCCGCCTCCAGCTTCCGGACGTCAGTGCGGCCGCCCCCAACCGGCCCGCCCTAGGAGGCGGGGCCAGCCAAGCCCCGCCCCCGCCGGCCCCCAGGGAAGCGAGCCGCCCGCCTACCGGCATGGAAAGCTTTCGCCACGCGGCTGCGGCCTGGCTTGTTACCGCTAATAGGAGCCCAGGGCGGCTTAGCTTGGCTCGGCCGCAAGGGAAGCCCCAGTCAGGGAGGCCCCTTGCGCTGAAGGTCACCTGACTTCAGTGGCAGCCAAAGGCCGGTGGTGGCTCCAAGGAGCAGGCCTTCGAGGGCCTCTTAGGTAGCCTGGACTCAGCTACAGGACATCAGGTCTACAACGCCTACAGGATTTCCAAAAAGAAAGGAGCTTGCCAGCTGCACTGATTGGCAGCTGCACCAACGGGCTGGTCCTGGAGCTCATATAGCCAACACAGCAAACAGTGGTTTGTTTCGTTAGGAATTGTTTTCCTGTAGTTCCTCCAGCTAGCCCGTCGGCACCCATCGGGGCCAGTGTTACTTTGGAGTGGTTCTCTGAAAGAAAGCCTGAATCAGGGTTCAGGGAAAACACTAACAGAGTGTCCTGGCTCATCCCTGAATACCAGCACCCGGGAAGCTGAGTCAATAGTTTTCCGACCTACCACCTTATCTTAAAAAAAAAAAAAAACATACAATGATGACTTTTAGTAAAGCCTTTCAACAACTATCCATCCATTACAAAACACTAACATTGCCCGTGCTCTGCTGTCAGGGAGTGACGTCGAGCAAGTTGGAACCACCAGAATTTACCAGTGTCTTGAGAATGGTGAAGGACTGTTCTTGTCCTATCTTTTACAAACCAGAAAACTAAGACACAGTAAAATAATTTGTCACTCAAGCAGTCCTGATTCACTTACCTTGTGTTTGGTTTGGTTTTGGTTGGAAAAATGGACAGTTGAATTTCTCAGTGCCATGATAGTTGGGTTTTCTTGGTGGGTCTGCATGAACAGAGTGGAGTCAACGAATGAACAGTTTCAACTTGTGTAACATCCACCCGCTTCCACCGCTCCGACCCTAGCAATGCAGCAGAACAATGTGATAACTGGCTCTAAGGGCTGGCTGCATATCACCTCAACCTGAAAACTAGTAAACTGCAAGAGACATTTCAATAACGGATTCACAATGTCAGCAGGGGTGGGTGGCTCAGTGTATTTTAAGAGACGGTGTCTCTGTGTATCCCTGGCTGTCCCAGAACTCACTGGCTCAGTTTTTAACAATAAGCTATAGATTTCTCGTAGAGTCTACCCTGTTGAAGAAATTACTGTCTATTTACTAGCTGGCCTGGTTGTTGTTGTCTTTCAAGAATGGATGGTGGCTGACCACCACTTTTGATCCCAGAAATCAGGAGTCTGAGGCAGGAACATCTGAGTTCTAGGCCAGCCTGGTTTACTGAGTGAGTTCCAGGACAACCAGAGCTATACAGGGAAAACTGTGGGGAAGGGAGAGAGAAAGAAAGAAAAGAATGAATGGTGTTTGGCTGGACAGATGACTCAGCAGATAAGAACTACCCAAACATAAGGACCTGCGTTCAAGACCCAGCATCCATGTAAAATCCAGGTGTGGCCACATTCACCTATAAACCCAGAAATTCGGAGGACAAGAGATAAGAGAATCACATGGGCTTGCTGGCCGCCAGCCTAGCCCCAGCCTCAGTGACAGAACCTGTCTCGGGAATAAGGTGGAGGTTGATAGAGAACCTCCTCCCACGGCCTCTGTGCTCATCAACACGTGTGCACATAAACACGTGTGCACATATACCACACACACACACACACACACAAAATGAAATAAGAACTTTTTTAAAAAGATGGATGGCATGCAGAAGTCATATGTTATCATGTCCTAGTTGAAGGCTGGCCTAGGCTACACAGTGAGTTCCAAGATAGCCTGAGCTACAAAAAAAAAAAAAAAAAAAAAACCAAGAAGGAAAGGAAGTAAATAAAAGAAAAACTTCGGAGTCTCTTGACACCTCTTTTCTGAGCTCTAGATGCCTGTTATGGAGTGATGGTTAATCCTGATTGTCAATATAACGTGGTCTCTAATCAAGTAAGAGATAAGTGTCTAGGCACAAGTGTAATAGGTTTTCTTGATCACCTTACATGAAAGGGGAAGACCACTTTACATGTTAGCATCGTGTTCCCATGATATCCAGATAAAATGGAGTCCAAGGGAAGAGTTTGCTTTCTGATTATTTGACTGCTCATTGCCTTTCTCTGTCAAGCTGAGTTCATTTACCGGTCGCTGCTGCTACCGTTCTTCTTTAGTGCAGAACCCAGAGTTTCCAACCTTCTAGTGTGGACTGAATCCTGTGGGTAAGACTTGGAGGATGGAGGTAGCTCAACAGCTGAGGATTCTGAAGAGCTACCAGGTTCTCTGGCTCTCCAGGATGTAGACCACCACTGCTCACTGCTCAAGCACCCAGACGGTATCAGAGAAGCCGGTCCAGTAAGTCCCTTTACCGTATATGCATCCTCAGTTCTAGTCTACTAGAGAGCCCTGACTGACACACTATGTAGTTTTGGAGATTGGACGTAGGCCAGCTCTTTGTCACTCACCTATACCCCCCAGCAATCTTTTATTTTTTATTCTTACTTGGGTCTCACTAAGTTGCCCAGAAAGACATTGAACTTACTTTGTAGCCCAGGCTGGCCTTGACCTTGTGACCTTCTGCCTCAGCCTCCTACACAGCTTCAGTTTCAGTCTTTCCTCGCCACCAGCTGCAACTGAATCCAAACCGCTCACTTGCCTGCTAGGTCTGCAGAGATGTGGGACCACTAGCCTATTAGCATTGCAGGCCGTACTCTGCTGCTCCCTCGCTCCCCTCCACACACGCAAACAGCTTCAGTCCCTTAAATAGGGGGTGTTCTTTCTTGACTCTGGCCTTTTGCACAAAGTATCTTTCTCACTATGTTGCCCTGGCTGGCCTGGAGCATTCTATGTGGCCAGCCTGGAGTACGGAGTGGAGACACTGTCTCAAACCACAGAGGAAATGAGAACTGCAGCGGGAGGTGGGTGGCACAGATAGATTTCATAACAGACTGTGGAGCAAAAAAGAGCCAGAAATAATAAACACTATTCAACCATCACAATAGTAATGATTTCAGACATGAAATGTCAATGGATGCTAAAATCAGTGAGTAAAAGATAAGAAGTAGGTTCTACTTACACTATCTCAGAGTATCTCCCCACATAACAATCATTAATCATACAAGGTAAAATAGCAAGATTTTTGTCTTTCTTTTGTTTGTTTTGTTTTTGAGACAGGGTTTCTCCATGTAGCTTTGGAGCCTGTTCTGAAACTTAGATCTGTAGGTACTCTATAGACCAGGCTGGTCTCAAACTCACAGAGATCCGCCTGCCTCTGCCTCCCAAGTGCTGGGATTAAAGGTGTGCGATACAGCCTGGCCTTGTTTGTTTGTTGTTTTTGAGATATGGTCTCAATGTCAACCCTTGCTAGCCATGAACTAGACATGATTTAACTGCATCAGCCTCCCAAGTATGAATGCAACCACATCTGACAAAAATTAGCAACTTTAGAGGTGTCTTAATACACCTCCTTATTTGAGTGACCAACATGAATGTCACCATTAACAACAAATCAGTACAGTGTGTCACTTGATGATCTTAGTGAGATGAGCACAGTGTTACATTAGTGATGTTCTGCCTAAAATGCATGACAGAAACAGAAATCAAATGCAGGCACATTCCAAAAAATGGCCTGTGACTGTATCCAGTATTGATTTCTTTATGAAAACCTGGCCACTAAAGGGAATTTTTTTCTGCAATTAGGGTAGAGTTTATTCATCATCAACATTTTTTCCCTGCTTCACTGTATCAGTTGGTGCGGTCTGAAAGCTGGTTCTACTAGGCCTGAGATAGAGCAGCCCAAAGGTTGGGGCTTGGAACAATCTCTCCCAAGGCTTTCTCACTCACCCCTCTGCCACCTGCTCTGGGGACATCCTCTGAGGGCTGGGACACTTTGACCCTCTCTGTGGCCTCTTTCTCAAACTGCTTAGGACAGCAGGATTTCCTCTGCATCAGGTCAGAATTCCCAGGGGGAGTACTCCTGGTAGAAGCTGTGTTGTCTTTTCTGATTTTCTCCTCTATTGGCACACCAAGGATGAAATCCACAGCTCTGTAAGCAAACACTACATTGAGACATATGCCCAGCCTCTACAAGGCCTTTTCTTTTCTTTTCTTTTCTTTTTTTTTTTTTTTTTTTTTTTTTTTTTTTTGGTTTTTCGAGACAGGGTTTCTCTGTGGCTTTGGAGGCTGTCCTGGAACTCGCTTGGTAGTCCAGGCTGGTCTCGAACTCACAGAGATCCGCCTGCCTCTGCCTCCCGAGTGCTGGGATTAAAGGCGTGCGCCACCAACGCCCGGCTACAAGGCCTTTTCTAATCCAGCCTTAGCTTGCACACAGAATTGTTTCACTGCCATTTATTCACAGGATGAATCACAATCCTAGCCCAAATTCTCTTCTCATTGCTTTTAGAGCTATGCAGTTTATGGAACTATGTGAACCCCAGATAGTCAAGACAAGCCTGAGCAAAAAATACAAGTGCTGGAGGAATTGCCATCCCAGAGCTCAAGAAGTATTATAGAGTCGTAGTAATAAAAAAAAAAAACAGTATGGTACTGGCACTAACACAGACATGTACACAATGGAACAAAATCAAAGACCCAAACATGGGTACATGTAACTACAGCCATCTGATATTTAACAAAGGTGCCAAAAACATACTGGAGAAAAGACAGCATCTTCCACAAATGGTGTTAGGAAAACCAGATGTTCATATGTAAGAAAAATGTAAATAGACCCCTATCTATCACCTTGCACAAAAACTAATTCCAGATGGATGAAAGGCCTAAACTTGAACCCTGAAACACTCACACTGCTAGAAGAGAACACAGGCTGTGCCGTGCGTGACCCGGGTGTAAGAAAGGACTTCCTGACAGGACGTCACTTGTCTAAGAATTACGGCCAACAGTTGACAAGCGGGCTTCTTGAAGAGGCTTCTGCACAGCTGAATTAGCAGTCAACTGGGTGACGAGCAAGCCTACAGAGTGAGAAACATTGCCAGCTGCCTATCTGACAGAGGTTTAAGATCTGGAACGTACGAAGAGCTGCCGAGAAGGGAGCATGACCAACCTGCTCTCCCCAAGGACGCTCTTCTCAAGTAGAAATGCCATCCTCTCTCTCATATTCCTTCACTTTTATCTCAGATGCCCTCAATAACTAACACTGCCCTGCTCAGCCAAGTTTTCAGATTCCAAGTAATATGTGAACTGATGAAATGAAATCCACAATCAAAATTATAGGAAGGAGCCACTGCATGGAAAAAGAAGCCAGAGGCCACAAGCCTGGCAGTAAATCGCTCCTTGTGCTTTTGAAAAATAATCTGCAAACCACAGCTGCAATGGCTTGCTATCTAGAATTTCAATGCTTGGCTTCTGTGTTTTCCTTACACCAACCGCCCTGGGCTTTCAGAAACCATAAGAAGCCACATATATCTTTCTGGTAAAATTCTCCAGTAAACTAAATAAAAGGTTATTGGGATTTCTAGTAGTCAATAAAGGGGGGAAACAAACATATTTTTAACATTCCCCCCCAAGATTCAAGAAAGATTAAGAACTTTCTAAATTGAAACATAATTACCATGAATATAAGAAAAATAACAAAAGAAGTTACTTGATTCCAGTGTGCTGTTTAAAATAGTCCAAAATATGGTCTACAAGAGCTAGTTCCAGGACAGCCTCCAAAGCCACAGAGAAACCCTGTCTCGAAAAACCAAAAAAAAAAAAAAATAGTCCAAAATAACTCAATTGCCTTTGATTATTTATAGAGTGGCCAAGAGAATCCAGATCATATTGAACATGTCATCAAAAAAAGCGGAGTAATCAATATTTTGGTAAAAGCCATTTGGTTAATTAATTTGAC